TTTAGAATTTTGCAGGCCTGGCAGTGTGGGCCAAGTCCAACACCACAGTGGAGGCTGCATTACAAGTGGAGATCTGTTCACAATTCAGTAATGTCCTCAAGTTCTTTCTAATCTCTTACAGTCAATAAAAACTGACTTTTGCATTTCCTCTCTTCTACACTGACTCTCTGACATCCAGTCAACCGTTATTATTTCTGCTGTTACAGCTCCCTTGTCATCTGAAATCAGCCACAGCTACCTGGAAAAACCAAGGCCTTTTCCTCCATTCAGATCTTTCCCTCATGTACGTGGCCTTCCTTATTTCCCACACGTCTGTCTGTCTCCTGTCACTCAGCTACTACTCCTGAGGAAGAATAAACACAGGGAGAGTATGAGCAAAGCATTAAGATGCTTCATTCAGTGGTTGTTATTTGTCTGCTTTCTACTTTATATGAAAACCTCTGCTCCTCTGAAACATTTAAACAGTGCAACATACATATCAGTGACCTACTGTACATCTTTATTTCTGCCCTTGAAATGCACAGCTAAACAGTGGAACATAAAGTCAATCATAGTTATAAGATACAGAAATAGCTTAGGAAAATAATTTACTAACTCAAAATTAGATTTTCTATACTAACAAAATAAAATCACCAATATTTAATAACTGCAAAAACAACACAAGAGGGTCATGCAAAGTTCTGCTTTACTGCTGTCTCCCAGTTTTGTATTCAGTGAAATCTTTGATACACAAATCCCCATGTATTATCTCTTCAGTTATCACTTTCTGCTGCATCAGCGCTTAAATTCATTCCTGAATGAAAAGGCTCTCCTCCAAATATCAACCAGGCTGAGAATCTCTCTCTACCATGAGAGATTTCAGCCCACTTTTTAACACTTACTCATGTGACAAACAGGAAAATAGCTCTGCTACACTTCTCTGCTTTACATACCCAACAGTTTTTATGTATTGTTACTTGTGTGACTCTCTCTAGTAAAAACAACAAGAAATAGGAGACGAGACTGAGGGACCTAAAAGGCAAGTCAATTGTTCCAAACCCACTGTTATGACTTACTAGAACACAGCAAGTGTCCTGTAAATGTATCCAACGTAGAGCCTCATAAGAACCAGTGATAACACTTAAAAGAAGTCTTCCTATGCATAACTGGAATTGGACCTTCTCAAGGACTGAATTTGCTTGTAAGTTGCACCTGTAACCCAGTTGTGAAATAAACTGATACAAGACTTCAGCATACTTCATGTAAGTACTTTCAAACCAAAACCATTTAAAATACTAAAGTATTTAAAAACTGCATCCTTAAAAACACAGTATAGTAAATCCATTAAGAGAGCATAAGTCATGACAGAGCAACCAGCCAACGCTGCCATGCACAGTTCCATTTCAGTAAGGACTGTGTTTGTGCTGCATCATAATGAACACAGCCCAAATATAAGAAGGAAGGGGACAAATCAAAGTAAAAACCCAAACTCTGCTGGATTCAACAGTGAAAAGCTAGTCGTGGCACCTCCTAGGCCCAAGCTGTGTGAACAGCCATTGCTGCCTGCCAACCTCATATATGGAATTGGGGAATAGGAAGAGAACAGAAAATGTATCTTTACAGACATTACGGCCTCTTTTAGTAAAGTAAGCAATTTGCCAGAAGGCAACGAAAGAGCTGATGCCATTCAGCTTACTGTATACAGGGCTGTCTCTGTAAAAGCACTGTGCTGTTATAAGAAGGTGAAACATGGAGAGATCTAGCTTTTAAGGATCTAAAATAAAAAGTCATTTTCTCTCTCAGCTTTACTCAGATAAGCAGCGCTATTCTACTCATGCCTAATTCATCATGCTCAGCCTAGCAAATTAATAACTGTTTCCCCACTTAAAGACAAACTGTTCTATTTGCTTGTTTATAAACTGAAATAGTACACTGATTAGTGAAAAACAGACCTTTATTTAAGAAAGGCCTCAAAAGAGGAGCCTACTCCTCCAAGAGAAACTGCTGCCCTCTTGATGTTATTTTGCAAACACTTTATGCAGTAAAACAATGCCTTTTATGAAGGTTATGCATTAGTTACACCTAAGGGAACTGCACAATACATACAGCATATAAATCTGTATTAGGTTAATAGCATGTTAACTACCTATCTGGAATTTCACACGTGCTAAAAACTGCTAACATAACAACATCAGTTACAGTTTAACATTCATTTATAGTCAAGTTATCCATTTAAAGACACTTTGTTTCAGCAGACAACCAGCACACGTTACAACTAAGCTAGAACACAACTCTGAGGCACAGGCTTGCATCGACAGCACAGGCAACAGCTTTCCAAAGCAGCCCTCTTCAGAACCAGCGCCTCTGAGAGGTAAAAACACAGTAGCAACGCTCAGCTGTCCCAATCACACTCAGCTCTCCCTGAAGCGGCAGGTTGAGATTTCAACACCAAACGGGAGCACAACCGAGAGAGGCCCGGACTAGCAAGCAGGGTGCTCGGGGAGCCCACACCCTCCCAGGCACCATCACTGCAGGGCTCTGCCCAGATAAGATCGCTCCTTCCCATCATGCTCAAAGACCGAAGTTGAGAAGAAGAGAGGAGAAGAAAATACTATATGTATTTATTAGGGGTAATGAGATCATCCTCTTACCTCTGGGGATGTGACAGAGCCCGGACTGCATTACCAGGGCAATTATGCCACGGCCTCCTATACACTGCCCCGAGGTGAAGCCCCCACGCCAAGGCGACGTCGAGGGAAAACGAAAAGGAAGAAAAAGGAGCGGGAGGAGGGAAGGGAAAAGCCCGAAGCGGTTACGGCCGACGAGTTACACAAAGGCAGAGGCGTCGAGGGAACGGGACAGTGCCCTGCCCGGTCAAACACCAGGCAGCCGCGGAAGGAAGCGCATCAACCCACAGGGCCTGGCCGGGACGCCCCAGCCCCCGGGACGCCGCCTCAGCCCCCCGGCCCCGCCTCAGCGTCTCCGCCGCTGCCGCCCCGGGCCCAGGCACTTACTGGAGTCCAGGGCAGTCCGGGAGTCCCCGTGAGGAGAGCCGGACCCGCCGCCTCCTGCCGCGCTCCCAGCCCGGTTCGGTTCGGTTCGGCCCGGCCCTTTCTCCGCCCGCCCCTTCTCCCTCTGAACAAACTTCGCCGCCGCCACTGACCGCGGCGACACGGCCGAAGCCCCCGCCCCGCCTCACCCCAGCGTGCGCATGCGCATGCGCTGAGGCCCCGCCCCCGGGCGGTGCGGCGCCGCGGTGCCTTCTGGGAAATGTAGTGCGGGAGGCGCAATGCCTGGTGGGAGTTGTAGTCCTGTGGTCTCTCCCGCTCCCTCTCGCAGCTTGCGAAGCAATTACTTTGATTTTCATATTTAATTTAACGGAGAGGGACCAGCAGGAAAGGAATTAGCAGCTGGGATTAGTGGAGGCTCTTCCCCTACACTTCTCCCCTCACAGAAGGCTTGGCTAGTGCTGCCTCAGAGCTTTGTGCTGTCAGTCACTGTGGTCCTGGTGGCAAACAGCAATTTCCAGTAATGACATTTAACCGGTTTTAACGGGAAGCTGACTTCTCTCCTAAGCGTATACTAAGTTTATACTTACTACTTTCTGAAATAGAGGGTTTTTTTCTTAGTTTAAAGCAGTGATATGGATGCTGAGGCGCTGGCACAGGGTGCCCAGAGAGGCTGTGGCTGCCCCATCCCTGGCAGTGTTCAAGGCCAGGTTGGACACAGGGGCTTGGAGCAAGCTGCTCTAGTGGAAGGTGTCCCTGCCTGTGGCAGGGGTTGGAGCTGGATGAGCTTTAAGGTCCCTTCCAACACAAACCATTCCTCGATTCTATGATATCCCTAAATATAAAAGCCGTTTGAACTCAGCCGTTGCCTGTCAATACATCTTTGTTTCAAGCTGGCATTTCACAACCGTACTTCACAACGAAACAAAAGCCGTAATCAGGGCACAACAATAAAAGCCAAAGTCAGCCGCAAACAATGCCTCACCATTCCCATGGCAACTTTTCCCTATCAAACCCTGGCGAGGTCACACACTCCACAGCTGCGTGAGCCTGAAGCTTTTCAGCCTGCTCTCCATTCACAGTTATTCACACATTTCTATGATGATTTTCACTTAACAGTGTTGTACTGGAGTTAATGTAACACAATTAACAGTAGCCCGCACCGCATCCTTCCCCCGCTTACGTCCCAAGCTGACATTTCTGACAGAACCAACTCACTGAGCACCTGCAGGATGTGGCCTGCCCTTGCACTGCATAAGGAAGGGCCCCTTGCAGAAAGAAGGTGTCCCTTTTGCAGTCAAAAAGCTGTGCAATCAAAAGCCTTTTCCTGATGCATGTGCAGAAGGTGGCACATGAAAACCACATCAGTCTATGGTTTGCTATGCCTTGACTTTCTCCAGCCTCCCAGACAAGGTCTGAATAACCATGAGTTGTGATAATAGGGCTCAGGAAAGGAGGAAAAAAAAGAGATTATTACATCTAAAAGGGGGAATATATCCATAGAATCATAGAATGGTTTGGGTTGGAAAGGACCTTAACATCATCTAGTTCCAACCTCCTGCCATGGGCAGGGACACCTCTCTCTAGACCTATTTCATTGGAATCAGGTAGCAGACATATTGTAGTTTACCATAGTTTCCATCACGGAAGACCAGTACGACCTTCCTTTTGGCGTGGCCTAATGCTTCCTGTGTTTGCAATTCAGCAAGGAGTCAATTCTGTGTAGAATGGACTATGTTTGCTTAAGATGACATGCAAACTTTTGAAAATAGCCAGATTCTCTAAGTTGCACTGTTGGCAAAAGTATACTCATGAACTATGCACGTGGTGAGCCAAAAGATGAAGAGCTCAACCATAAACCAATGTGAGATGGAGAAGTCAGCTGCCACCACCAACATGGATTTTCCCCTATGAGTTACACAGAGAGTGTGGGTGAGCCCAACAGGGTACACCTCAGCCTTAAACCCTTTAGGTATCAATCTTTGCTCATAGAAACATAAATATAACTATAAATATAAATATAATCATGCCTAATGCCTTGATTTAAAGCAAAACTTACTTTCAGTAGGAAGATGCTAGTAGTTCTAATGTTACGCTATTGTACTGGTACCCAGGCTACTTAAAGCTCAGCTGAGCTCACTGACTTTGAAGCAATTCTATGTTTCTTAGTATTCCTTTCTGTGGAGTGTGCAAATGTAGCAGTTGAAAGACAAACAGGTACACTTCAGCTCTGAAGGGATGAGATCACGCAGCTGCTTTCCCGTTCTTCTGCAGTACGAAGTAGGTGTGCAAAGATTGCAAAGGACAGAATCTATTTTTTTTACCTACCCTGCAACCTCTCAAAGCTTTCAGGCAGAAAGTCTGCACTGCTGCCCCATGCAGTGCCGCTGCCTGCAATTTAGAGGTTGGCTCGGAGCCCGGGGTATTGCAGCAGAATTCTGAGACAGGAACTCATTTCCTCTCCAGTTGCCTCTATTCGTAGTTCCCAAAAGCTGGCAGGTATTCTCACACCAGTCTTCATGCCTGGCAAAAAAATATTGGCAGGCCCCTTCTGTACCCATCCTTTACTCAGGAGCTACTTGTGATTCTCATCGCTGAAACGGGTAAGTGAGTTTGGACATTGATTCCTGCTGGGATTCCAGTTACTCAAAATATAGGCTATAATAAATAACATTTGGTGGGTGACCTGCGGCAATACACACATTTAAGAGCAAGTGTTTATTTCACGAGGTATGGAAACTCCCAGTGGAACATATGTGTGTAAAAGTAATACCCAAAGGAGTAATATGTATCTCTCTATGTGTATATGCAAATACACAGATGTAAACACGTATATCACATATATACCCCATATATAATATCACATCTTGCGTGTCATAGCAACGAAGCAGAAATACTCAACAATTCCAAAATATTCCAGTTCTTAACTTTTCTCGTTGTATTTTCATGATGGGATAATTTTACCCCGCAGAGGAAGTTCAGCAACTTTATACATAGGCAGAAATAAAGAGCTGTGAACAAAACCTCACTTCATTGCTCTAAAGAAATTAATTCTGCCTTAGACAAAACGGTTTTGTTAAAACTAATAGTTATGTTACAGTGGAAAACAGGAAAAAGCCTGGCCAGTGAATTACTAAGTGTAGAGCAAAATGCTTTCACTATATTCTCTTTTTTATGGTTTCAATATTGCAAATTCCATCCACATGCAGTATGCCTCTTGTGCACTATTTTAAGAGGGGTGTTACTGACTCAATGGGACTGCTTTTCTTAAAGGCTATGAGCAGGCAAGGTCATCACTCTGCTGACACCTTCAACGTTAGCAACCAAGGAAAGCTATTCAGTCATTAAACTTTATCCCAGAGGATGAATGTCTGAGTTTTCTGCAGTGATTGATTAGGTAATATTAATTAATTAAATTATTTGCCATAATGTGGAGGTAGACAAAAGTTCTTCGAGGTTCCTGTCAACAGGGCCTGGGGAAGAGCCTCCCTTCATACCCCAGGGTTGCTGATTGCTGTGACTTCAAACACATGACTCTAGATAGACTCTAGGTAGACGATAGGGTAGACTCTAAGAAATGAGGCTGTCTTCTCCACCTCAGGAGTACACCCTTCAGTTGCAGACAGTTTCTGAAGCTTAAGAAGGTAACACTGACCGCTGAGCCATCAGTAGCTAATGGGTAAACTCCATCCTCTCCATCCCTGCAGGTGATTAACTACAGAGCTGAAGAAGGAGGTTTCCCTACAGCCATTGCCTTACAGTGAAACCGTGTGTGTGATGGGCATCTTGAGGGCAACACAGACAAACCTCTTCATACCTCCCAGAGGGAGGAGAGGAGCAGAAGCATTAAAATCCCTGCATATATAAGCACAGAGTTTAATTCAAAAGAATATTTGCAATATGCAGCCTCTAAGTGAGAGCCAAAACTTCATTTCTTCTGCTGTAACTATGTTGACAGAGCCTGGAAATTTAATCTCACATGGAGGGTGAATTCATTCAGCTTCAGCTGTCAGTCACTGGATCTTGTCATTAATGTGATACTGAGGTAGAAAAGCACCCTGATGTAATTGCTGTGTTTAAGTGCTGATACACAATGATGAAGTAATTTCTCAGCCTTTTAAGTACTCCACTGCCATGAAAGTCATATTTAAACACTTCGAGTTCATTAGCAGTAGGAGTTTAATATTCTTATGTTGCAGTTGTTTTCCTCATTCCTATGTGCATAGCATTATGCTAAAATACATATGATGATTCGTTATTTTCCATCAAACAGTGAATTTTTATTTTCCTTCCATCAGCTTTAGATATAAAGTTTATTACTGAAAAACAAAAAGCCCTTTCCCCTCTTATTCTGTTTTGGCCCAAAGACATTCCACAGTAAAAAAAAAATGTGAATTGTCTTTAAAACACAGTGTCTTTGCAATAAAAAGTGTGAAATGTTTTCTTCAGTTGGGGACTATCTCTTTCATTCCAAAGCTTAAAAAGAGGAGAGCTTAATCTTCTTCAGGAAAGGGCGTATTCTCCCCTGAAATATATGCGAACTGCCTTGAGGGCTTTCAGCTTGCATAGTGGTTGCAGCCACTTACTCAGCTCAGGATGGTGCTTTGCTTCTGTCTGTGGCTGGGTTTAGCAATGTACACCTCTTGTGAAGGATTTGAGGTGTGCACATGAAGATATACAACAGCGTAAACATGATTTATTATTATTAGAAGTGATACCCTATTGAAGCATGCTGAATGTGAGACAGAGGTAATCAGATACACTATTAAATGAATTCTCCACTGTGCATTATATTACAGAGATAATTTACATTTATATTATATAGTATAGTGCAGAGCAAAGCAGATGGTTCTACTTTTACCTGGAGCCATAACATTATACTCCAGTGTACCAGCTCTGAGTCTTGGAGTGACAGTCGCAGTCCAGGATGGGTGGAAGTAAGAAAGATTTCATTCAGTTATAGCAAGATCCCAAAGTGCATTGCAATGCCCTGCCCTTGGCACACCCTTCTGACTTAACTGTGGCTAATACTTCCCATGCTGGGGAATTCCTTGGTGATGGCACTCTGGGTTTCATCTGGCCGTGCCCGGTGGCAGGTTGAGGCAATGTGCCAGGCAGTGAAAGTCCCACTGTTTGTGCCCCTCTTGTCAGTATCCACTTATGGATGTGCTCCTTCAGCATGGAGCAGTCCCTACCAGGATGCCCACATAAATGGCAGAGTCTTAGACCAAGGATCTGCGGGTGGAGATCCAAGCAGCAACAATCTGAAAACCAATAATCATAGAATCCTGGAATGATTTGGGTTGGAAAGGACCTGAAAACTCATCCAGTTCCAACCCCCTGCCACGGGCAGGGACACCTTCCACTAGAGCAGGGACATGCTGAGGCACTGCAGGAGCTGTTCTCCTTTGGGAGCAAAACTCAGCATTGCCTTCAGCATGGAGGACACAGCTTTTTCTGGTTCAAGATTGATGTGCCAGTTTTGTAAGCCTTAAGGATATATGCTTGAAACATCTTTTACTTTGAAAAGTGAAGAGCTTTCTTCTTTTCTGTAGTCCGGGAGCAATTTGCAGGGCTGGTAAGTAACTGATACTGGTGGCTGTTAAAAAATGGACAAGAATTGAAGTGTATGGAGACCCTTGGTTAACAGCTAACATTGTAACTTTCAAGCTTATAAAACAAAATGAAAAGGCAATTATTAAAGTAGTGTTAAAAGATAAGGATATCTCTGTAAAATCCACTGTATTACATTATACAACCACAGATAACGAACATAACAACTCTGTGCCTACATTTCAAAAGGAAAATAGAAACTTTGGTTGCCATTTCAGAGTATCTGGAAAGAATGCAAAAATCTTTCGATATTCAGATTTAGAAAATGTGTGAAATCATGAGGATCTGGTGACATTCCCAAATTCTGGCTTTTTAGCCCATTGGTGTCTCCTTCCCAGGTTGTTCCCTGAGCGCTGTTTTACATCTCCAGCAAAAACATTTTGTAACGTCTTAGGTTGGTTTCTGAGCAGAAGAACTGAGATCATTTCACCCCTAATCACTCCTCTAACTTACTTGGGTGATGCCTGTCATCCTTCTAGAACAATCCCAGTTTTCCCACCTCATTGCTTCTGAGGAGCTCCCAGGATTGCCCAGCATGATTTGCTTTTTATACCTCCTGTTGTGCCCTCCTGCAATCTCTGCTGCCTCAGTAATGCCGCTTTTTATTTACATTGGAGGAAAGATTAAAATTGACCTTTGCGATTAAAGCAACCAGAAATTTGGTCCTGAACTCAACTGAATCTAAGTGCATTTAACTTTAAACTGCTCTAATTTTGAATATAGGAAGGCAAAGTCTTTGCACATTGCATGCAATGAGTTCCTGATGTGAAGTGATTGCGAATATTTTGTCATCAAAAACTGCTCAGCTGGAGTCTTAGCAATTTAAACTACTTGTATCTTTATTCCATTCTCTCTAGCAGTTACACTTTCATTGAAGTCAGTGCAAGAATAAAGCTTTTTTATTATGGCCTCATGGTAACATTGCAGTTATGACACTATCCATAAGATCCCGTTGCCAACAGTACCTATCCAGAAGCCACCCTGAACTGGCGATGTGGGGGACCCGGAGCCAGTGCCAGTTCCAAGGTGGGGAATGGGGTTTTGCATTGAGATATTAGCCCCTGTGCACCTGGCAGAGTGAGTACCTACCACAGGGCACAGGGGCAACAGTGGCCTCTTCTTGGCCACCAAGGGTGTTTTAGGAGATAGTTTTCCTCTGGAGCCCTTCTTCCAAGCCCTGTAACCATCAACATACACTCAGAGCTGAACATGGATGAATTTGGACCACTGCTAAAAATGATTTAACTGACAATGCACTCTGCACTGCTCCAGATACTGCTCTAGCTTGTCTGGCTTTTCAGCATTGCCTTTCTCTCCACTGATTTTCCACTCTTGCTAAAACCAGCTCCACAGGTTGTGGCAATAGCTTCAAGGGGTTGTGTAAACAGCAGCATTGCCAGGTCATCTGCAGCTCTGCTCAGCCAGTGGCAACGCCAGCATCTCTGCTCCCTGCAATCTGTCATCCTAAAGCAGACAGATGCTGACAGATGTTCTCATGCCTAATGCTACCTTTGCTGTCAAACTACCGTGCTCATCCAGCCATAATTTATCTAAGTTAGCTAGGTAGCTTCATATTTCAAAGCTAGAGACCCTGTTTCCATGGTAAGTGGATTGGAGTTTAGTTTTTCCCAGTACCTCCTGACAATTCCACAAGGTGCATTGGACTGCTCTGTGGCATTTTGAGCAACTGAGGACACTTGGTCTAGTGAAAGGTGTCCCTGCTCATGGCAGGGGGTTGGAACTGGATGAGCTTTAAGGTCCTTTCCAACACAAACCACTCTGGGATTCCATGAGTCTATGTTTCTCATGGCACATGTTGGGAGAGAGCAGAGGTGAACCTAGGGAGCAGCCGCAAGCCACACTGGGACACAAACCTGCCCTGTAGGGAACAGCCCTGCGGGGTTGCCTTATGTAGTTGCAAGTAGTGGCACGCTTATCTACCAACTTCCAAGCCTGGAACTTGTTTTACACTTTGAGGGTAGTGGATAAAAAAGTGTTTCATTCACTCAGCAAATGGATCCCTTGTTTGGAGTTATACAGTCATTTATCATTTTGCACCTCTTTCATTTGAGAAATTAGCAATGGAGACAGGGGAGTTTCAACATTGCTTCTCCTGGGAGAAGCCTGGGATCATGTCATGGCTCTTTGATCTGCAGGAGCAATGGTACTCACAGCCTGGACCCATGCCTGTCTGCTGGGGAAGCATCCGCCTCCTTTGAGGTTAGGGAGCCTTTGAGGTTAAGGACTCCTGTGCCCTTCATTTAAGCTTTTTAAATGAAGACACTCCTGTTAATGCCATAAAAATGCTGTTTACTAAGAAATCAAGGACTAGCGGGCTGTGATAGGAAGCCGGTTTAGTCCACAAAATGCAAGAGCCGCGATAAGGAAGAACAAAGGACAGAAGGAAAAAAGGCAGAAATCATGGCTAACAATTACATGACTAACCCACTCACTCCTCTGCAGCGATTAAACATTAAACTCCCACAAGCTAAGTAAACAACAAAAGAAGTACCCTCTGAATTCCCCCAAGGCTTTGTCTTTGTAGCAAGGTCTGAACTTGAGGGATGAGTGCAGTCGCATCCTTTGTTGAGCTCCCCTCTGCAATAGGGATGTCTGTACTGCGGGTGTCTGTAATGGGGGTGTCTGTACTTGGGGTACCTGTAACGGGGGTCTGTATAATGGGGGTGTCTGTAATGGGCCAAGCTGGCTTCAGCCTGGGGTTGCAAGCACTCTGTGCATATAGTTCCTATACCATCCCTATAGATGCAGCAGGGTATCAAAAGCTCTGTCCCTCTGCAGAGCAAGGGGCTCTACCTCATCTGCATGGGTTCTAGCCCAAAGAGGCAAAATGGTACCTCTTTTTTCTTCATACAAAGCAATCACTTGAGTTTACACCTCCTTACCTGTTGTAACCCCACTAGCCTGTCCTCCTTTAGCTTCATTTTATTCATCAGGCTGATCCCAGGCACATGCAGATTGCCTCTAGTCTGAAATTTGGCTTTTGCTACACATACCGTCTCTCCTGTTTGCCAGCACTACTTTAATTATTCCAACTTCAAAAAGCACAACGAGATTTTAAATCACCCCAGATTACAAAGCAAGGAGCCGAATTTACTTTTACAGAGCAGCCTTGCCAAAGCAAAGCCCGCAGAATGGGTTCTCTCATAGGTGGACTCAAACCACCACTTTATCAAAGAAAGGAACGGAGCAGCCGGCTTCCCACGCGGCTCCCGTCCAGGCTCTGGCTCCTGTCCCCGCAGGAACCCAGCTTCCCTCGGGAATGCAGCTCCTGCATGCACAGGCTTGCCAGAGGGAGCAGCACGCAAACAGATCTTTCTTTCCAGGGTCCCACAATGTGCTTGCTTAACGAAAAGCTCGGCTTTCCACCTCCGCTTTGGTCTGCCGCCCGTGTTTGTGTTGTGGGCTGTAAATGGGGTCAGCAGAAGTTGCTGAGATTGTGATTCAGTTTCTTCCTGTGGACACCAGTGAGTCACTGCAAGGAGGGTAGGGGATGGATTACTGGCAGGGAAGGCTCTGAGGTGGTGTTATCCCAGAGGAAGGTGACTGGGGCAGCTGGAGAAATGGGAATGAAAGTCCCCGGTGGTGACAATGCAGACTTCCCCACTGGAGCATCTCCACTGTCATCTGAGCAGCAAAGCGGCAGGCAGGTACCCAGGGAAGTCTGGAGTCATGATGAGACTGTGAAAGAGCTAGGATATGATTCCAAGTCACCACTTTTAGGCATATAGAGTAGGGAAACGGAGGTGTCCTGGATGCACACTTGTTCACAAATACACCAGCTTTGTTAAATCACCACGATAAAAATGGTGACATG